TTCTAAATGCGTTATAATTACCTTATCACGCATTTAGATGAGGCGCGCCATGACACTCCAGACACAGCAACCAACGCCGGAACATTCTCCGGCCGTTCTCACTGATGAACAGCGCCGGCGAGTGGCAGATGCCCTCGAGAACGCTCAGTCCGAGAACACCCGCCGGAACTATGCCGGCCAGTACCGCAAGTTCCGTGCATGGTGTGAACGTGAAGAGCAGTCAGCGCTGCCGGCTCAGCCGAGAGGTAGTTGCTGCCTATGCCGCGGAGCTTGCCGAAGATGGAAAGAGCATGTCCACGATCCGACTTGCGGTCGCGGCTATCGTTGACGCACACAGGAGCGTGGGCCTGGAATCTCCGCAGACTACCGGTGTCACTGAAACCCTGCGGGGCCTGTCAAGACAAGTAGGTGTCAGCCAGAAGCAGGCGAGACCGCTGGACGCTGATGCTCTGGCCGCAATCAGGGCAACGGCACTCAATCCCCGAAAATCGAGGGGCGGCTCGCTTGAGATGGAAGAGACTGCGCTCAGACGCGGCCGGCTGGACATTGCACTGGCATCCGTACTGTCTGATGCGGGTCTGCGTATCTCTGAAGCCGCCGACCTCAGGTGGCGTGACGTGTTCGATGCCGAGGACGGAGCAGGTCTGGTGTACATCGAGCGTCGAAAGACCGACCAGGCGGGCGAGGGCGCCTACGTCGTGGTCACGCCCTGACACACTGGCGGCCCTGAAGCAGCTGCGAGAGGACTCCGAGGCCTGGGCCGACGATGACTCTGTATTCGGGCTATCGATGTCTCAGATAAGTCGCCGCGTGGACAGCATGGCGAGAGCCGCGGGACTGGGTGAGGGATACTCGGGTCATTCGGGGCGCGTGGGCCTGGCGATCAGGATGACGCGCAGGGGAGCTCCGCTGCAGGCGGTGCAGACTCACGGGCGCTGGAAGTCGCCGTCGATGCCCGCGAGGTACACCAGGAGCGAGAAGGCGCTTGAGGCGCTTGAATGGCTCGTCTGAAATAGAATCGTGTTTGCTGATCAGAGAGTGGGAGAAGGACAGATGGATGAGTTTATGAATGCGGCTCTGGACGAGGCGCGCGCCGGTGCGGCGGAAGGCGGAATCCCAATAGGCGCCGCGCTCGTGGACGATGGTCGCCTTGTGGCAACCGACGAAATCGTAGACTGCAGGACTCGGCCTCAACATGCATGCTGAGATAAATTGTCTCTACAATGCGAGCCGCAAGGGCGTGCAGAGCTTCCGCGGTATGACGATGTACTCCACGCTCATGCCCTGCCACATGTGCGCGGGTGCGATAGTGCAGTTCGGCATAGCGAGAGTTGTCGCCGGAGAGTCCAGTAATTTTCGGGAAGCGAATGGGTTCGAGACGTTGCTGCGTCACGGCATCGAGGTTATTGACCTTGACCTAGATGACGCCAGGCAACTTCTGGGCCGATTCATCGAGGCGAACCCGGAACAGTGGAACGAAGACATTGGAAGGTAAGGTCTGCGGGGACGTACGTCCCGTAGGCAGGTGGCCATGAAGGGGGAACGAGCATGGCGTTTGTCCGTTCAGCCGGAAGATGTTCAGACCATTAGCTTTACCGGCGGGACTACTAGGTGTCCGTGCCCGTCCCAGGCCAACTGTCCGACTATATATGTGACTAGAATGGCCCCTATGCCCAGCGTGTGTCTGTTGGGAGTCAGAAGGACGCGTCCTCCCTGGTCAGGGTTGCGGTCCGCCAGGTCTTTCGCCCGAACGTACAGCCATCCCGTCAGCAGAGTGGATGCGCGACACTTGCGAGAAATTGTCGGTGCGATGTTTGTTTTGGGGATTAGCGAAGCGCTGCGCCTTGAGGAGCCCGAATTAGTCCAGTGGGACTGATAATGCTTGATATCTAAATTGAAGGAGAGCATCCATGAAGCATAGCGAAACACGTATCTTGACCACTCATACGGGTAGCCTGCCCCGGCCCGAGGGGTTGGTAGAGATGCTGGGCGCGGTGTCGCGGGGTGAGCGGGTTGACGAGGCCGCTCTGGAAAGTTTGGCCGGTGAGGCTACCGCCGAAGTCGTGTCTGCGCAACTGGCGGCTGGAGTAGACGTCATCAACAACGGAGAACAGTCCCGCGTCAGCTTCTCTACCTACGTCACGCAGCGGATGTCCGGCTTTGGCGGCTCGTGGGACCGGCGTGGCCAGCGTGACCAGAACGAGTTCCCGTCCGTAGTACGACCCCGTGTCGTCCAGTTGATGAGCGGCGTGCCCACCTGCGTCGGCCCGGTGACGTACGAAAGGTTGGATCTGGTGGAGCAGGAATGTCGGCAGTTACTTAGCGCCGTCAATGCTGCCGAGGGAGAACCGGAAGACCTGTTTATGACCGCTGCGTCACCCGGCATCGTTTCCCTGACTCTAGCCAACCGCTATTACGACAGCCACGAAGACTATGTATTCGCTTGGCCGAAGAACTGAGAAAGGAGTACGAGATAATCGTCGCCAATGGCCTGACGCTGCAACTGGACTGCCCTGACTTGGCCATGGAACGGCATATATCCTATCAGGACGAGCCCCTGTCGGCCTTTCAGGACCTGGTCGCTCTGCATATTCGGGCGATCAATCACGCCCTCTCCAACATCCCCGCGGATCGGGTGCGCTTGCACGTATGCTGGGGCAACAACGAGGCCCCCCACATTTACGACGTGCCACTGGAGCACATCATCGACCTGCTTTACGAGGCTAAGGTCGGCGCGCTGGTTATGGAAATGGCAAACCCGCGCCACGGTCACGAGCATGGTGTCTACCACAACCACCCCCTGCCCGAAGGCATGCTGCTGGTGGCTGGTGTCATTGACACCAAGACCAACTATGTGGAGCATCCACGACTTGTGGCGGACCGAGTGCATCAAGCTGTGACTGCCGCCGGAGGCGACGTCACGCGGGTGATGATCGGCACCGATTGCGGCTTCGACACCTCCGCTGGATCAAACCGGGTGGATGCAGGCATCGTTTGGCTGAAGCTACAGGCAATGCGAGAGGGAGCGGAGATCGCCAGCCGTGAGCTGTTCTAGAAATTCGGCCGGAAAGTGATCTGAGTCGGGTGAGCGGATACACTTGGGGCATCAAGCATAGTTGAGAGCAGGTGAAATTAGGTCCGTTCACTAGTGGTTAGGTAAGGCTGTGGTAGGTTGGAAGGATGAGAGGGCAGAGCTGAGCCGAGGGCATAAAACGGATGCATGAGTGCACGCCGGGCGTTTCCGTCATCCGGACCCACGCCGGCGTGCACTGGACTATCTGTGGGGACTGCTGAGTCTCCATTCTGAGGTAGCGTGCACCTCCTGGAAGTTGACCTCGACAGGCCAACGTAGCAGGAACCATCGGATGATCTGAAAGGGATCGGCGTATCGGTGCAGACCAGTGCCTGCCTCGTATGGCGGAGCGAGTCTCTGACGAGTACCTATCTGATATGCGCGGGAGGTCTTCTCCAGCGATACCAGACTGCGGTCTTGGATTTAATCTCCAGTGCACGCGCCGGTCCGTTACTCTGGAGGTGGGCTTGTGTATCGCTGCCTTGAAAGAAGCTTTGAGCAAGGGACAGCCGCAATCTTCGACGCCTTGAGCGGCGGACTGGGAGAAGGTGGGCTACCGGCGATGCGGACGAAGTGACGACCCGCTCGACACGATCACGTCCGCTCCAGTGCTCGCCTGATGCAAAGCCGGCTTTGAGTCTGCACGACACAGCGTGCCTGAACGTTAGCCGCCGTAGCTCGCCTCGGAGCCGCGGATCGAGAACGTCTCGCATTGCGTCTCCGAACATGTTGGTGCCATAGACCGCGAGGGCGATGGCGAAGCCAGGCCAGAAGGCAAGGCCCGGGGCAACCTCCATGTAGTTTCGGCCTTCAAGAGCTCGCTCTACCCGCTCAATCTCTCGGGTTTCCTAACCCCCTAATGTGTCCCATTTTCGCTGACGGTCTACAGTGGATTCTCAATTGCTCCTCGGGCGAGCGTCGAGCTTCTCGACCCGTACCTCCATTGCTCTGGGATATAGCGCCGGGCCAAACTGGTTGAATATCGCCACGTCGGCCGCATCGCGCCCATAAGCGACGGCAACTCGCCCTCCACGTGGAACGGCCTGCGTTGCATCGAAGGTGTACCAACGGCCACCTACGTACGCCTCGAACCAAGCGTGAAAATCCATCGGCTCGAGTTCGTGCAGATAGCCAACAACGATACGCGCTGGGATACAGAGACTGCGGGATAACGCGATGCCCAAATGAGCGAGCTCGCGGCATACGCCCTCGCGCTGCTGGTTGACCTCGACTGCCGACATCTGAAAATTGCTAGAATCTGGATTGAAGCGTACAGACGTGCGGACCCACTCTACAATTCTAGCCACTTGGTCGTAGCCGGGCTCGACGCCTTCTACGAGTTCCCTACCGAGGTCTATAAACCGGTCGGACTCGCAATAACGGCTGGGAAAAAGATAGGTTAGAACCTCGTCCGGTAGATTGTACACCTCGTCAAATGGCGCGCCAGGCGACACGTCAATGCCGTCTGCGATTGAAACGTCCGCAGATCTACGGATAGAAAACTCACCTGGGGGTGCTATCAATCGCTCGCACAGGTTACCGTAACTGTCCGCATACTCTGTGATCGGTACGCTTGGCGTCAACGTGCAGTCTTCATGCGCCACCCGCTGATGTGCTCCACTTCGAGGGCGGAGCATCAGGATAAAAGGCGTAGGGACGCTCACATCAAAGGTAATCTCACAACTTGTACGAAGCCACATTTCGATTCCCTTACTTGTCAAAACCACGTTATCATCTGGCTATGCTCCGGTGTTACAGGGCGCCTTGTCAACGGCGGCGGCAAAACGTACCACTGGGCTGTCGATGACCAGAGAAAAGGTTCTGGCTAACTGGCCAGCGAAAATGTCACATCATGGAGAATGTGACATTGATTTCGAAAGAACAGGCAAGGCTCCGGGTCTTGAACAGCCTGCTGCCGGGACAGATTACGTTGGATCAGGCGGCAGACTTGATGGCAATGAGCTCACGCCACGCCCGAGGCGGTGGTTGCCGACGTAGTGCACTTGGCTCGCTCCAGCAATCTCTGATTTCTCCCTGCCAGCAGGGCTTTTCAGTCAATTAGGCGAATCCGGGTGTCCGGTTAGGAAGCGGTGTAGACCGCGTATGTTGTCGATAATGGCGGAGTTTCGACATCTGGTGAATGCTACTGACTATACGCCAATCACGGCACCATCGGCAGGCTCCCCGTCGGGTCGGGCACAAGCTCCAGGTAAATGAGCGTCGTCTGAATCGACGAGTGCCCGAGCCAGCGCGACAGATAATTGATGGGGATACCGTTCATCAGCAGGTGCCGGGCGTAGCTGTGCCGCAACGTGTGCGTCCCGACTCGCTTCCCCGGCGCAATAGCGCCCAGCTCCTCAGCGCGTTTCACCGCTGCCTGCACCCAGCGCCAGACTGTCGCGGGATGCGCCTCGACGATTCTGCCTTGGCTAATATCTCCGTAAGCCAGCGCACTACCCAGTGCCCCGTGCAGCTCAGGATGCACCGGCACAAGCCGTGACTTGCCGCCCTTGCCGGATCGCACACGCACCGTCGGGCTGGGCGTGTCGAGGGACAGGTCCCGCACTTCGAGGTCAAGGGCCTCTGATACACGCAGACCTGCCCGCCACTGCTCCAGCATCAGCAGCTTAGCCTTCGGGTTGGGCGCTGCTCTGATGATGGCGTTCACCTCGTCGGCTTCGAGGTACTCCGGTATGCGCTTTAGCCGTTTGGGGGTTGCGCCGTCCTGTGTTTTGGGATAACGCCCGCGGGCCTGTGCCGGCGGGAGATTGCGGTCGAAGATTCAGTAGTCATACTGGTCCCTTTCCGAATGCGTCGCAGTCACGTTGGATATATTACCGGCAATTCGTGATTATAATCATTCGTGATGCCAGTCGCTCCTGGAGCGTGCAGGACCTGTCATTCGTGAACCCAGCTCGGCCCGCCGTCGCGCCGACCGACGCATGTCCTGAAGGCATTTAGAGACGTTTCCATCGCGGATCGTGATAATCGGTCCTTTTCAACCGCGTACTCTGCAGTCATCGCAGAGAAAGACCAGTGCTATTTCGTCGCCTCTGTGAAGTTGTCCAATAAAGCTCTTACTGAACTCGTACTCATCCTTCGGGATCGACTGAGAAATCTTGGGACCTCCGTGCGGGCAGGTGACTTCGGCTGTCTTGGATAAGGCGCTCTCCAGGAACCACTCTCCGCAATTGTTGCAAGGCGCGATGTAAGCATCGGCAGGCAGATCTGATTCCTCCGGAGGATGATTAGGTCCAGCGCCTGGCCTTCGCTTATACGTGATTCTGACTTCCTCGGTCATTCTGCTTTCTCTCCAAAGGGTCCCATACAGCTACACCGGCTCTTGGCTTCTCGCTTGCGGTAGTGCTATGGCGTCGTTCGTGATTAAGTGCAGGTCCCGAAACTGCCCATCTACTAACGCTTTGTAGAGGGTCTTGTCGCCCGCTCCAGCAAGCATGTAGGGTAAGAATATCTCTTCCATTTCGACCATTTCCGGATTCGAGCAACGCGATCTGCGCCTCAATCCAGTCTTTCAGTATCCGCCAAGCCACACGGCGGGCCTGCTCCTTCCGCCGGTCGGTGTCTCTCTTGAAAATCAGCCCCTCGTCGGTGAGCACGTCATAGACCGCCTCATAATTCACGGGCATTGCGTAGCCGAGGGTCCCATACCGTCCGGCAAGGCTCCACTTCAGAGCGACGACATTCCCGCTCCCGTCAAAATCCTGCACAATCCGACTTGCGCCGTGCCGCACCAGTATCCTCGTGATTTCGGATACAGTTCTATGGGTTTCAACCTTGGTGGAGTAGTTCATCAAAGGCATATCTTCACTCCAGGAGTCCTGTGGTCATTTCACCAACCCTCGCGACCACAATACGGACATGGACCGCGAACTAACTTGCGCCATTCGGTTGTTGTGCGAGCCTCAATCCGACTGCCACAATGCAGACATGTTCCGAAGTACTTCGGTTGGCTAATCTGCCGACTGGTCATTTCACTACACCTAAACCGGCCCTTCTTGCGCTGGTATGTATGCGATCTTCGATTGTGGATTCTCCTTGCAAGAGTTAACCCGATACATTCTTGCAAATCTGTGGTAGGTTGTCCAGTTTAACGAAGTGTGCCAGGTACGAGCCGGTGTCGGAAATGCAAGCTTTTACCATTTTTATTGCATCACCGTCGATTGCCCTATCTTGTAAATTATCTCGAAGAGTGTCAGCGGCAATTCGATAACTGCAAGACCTTGGATGCTTCATGTTACGTCGCTCCCAACACTCAACGCTGGAATCATTCTGTGCAGATAGGATGCAGCACTTCTTCAGCGCTCCGACGTCGACGCCATTTACAGCCCATCTCCGCAATGGGCGACATATTTCTGCCACATTTCATCGCTATCGTGAGTAGTATCAAAGGTAATTCACGAAAGAGGTGAAATGATTATTTTCAAGAAATTGATGACGAAAAGAACCCTGGTCGGGTCAGCCTTGGGAATTATACTCTCCGCATCGTTAATCAGCGGATGTACGGTCGACAGGGAACTCGAAGACAGCCAAGATTCTGACCGCGCCAAGGTGAGCCAGGATGTCTCAGAGCGCGAAGGTGGCGAATCTGGAAGTGAGCACAGCAGCAAACCAGTAAGTAACGAATCCAGTAGAGAAAGTGGGGACGATGTAGGCGATCAAGTCCCTAGTGGCGAGAGTGACGAAAGCGGCAATGATTCCTCTGAAGGTGGTCGGGAAGAGCATGGCGGTACTAATACCCTAGCATTACGAGAAGGCGGTGACACGGGGAGTGAGCACAACAGTAAACGCGAAGGCAACGAATCCGGAGAGGAAGGGAGTGAAGACAGAGGTGAACACGGCTCCGGCGGCGACGGCAGAAGCGAGGGTTCTCACAGCAGCGAAGAGACAAGCGAAGCCGCCATGTCGAGCCCAATCACTCCTCTTGGACAGTCGTGGAACGGTGTTCTCGGCGGATTGGCTGTTTCGATGCAGTACGACGCGGCAACCCAATCTGTACACGGGACGGTGCGAAACACGCTCTCTCAGGAGCTTTGCCATGTACAGGCCGAACCTCACCTGAAGTCAGGAACGAAGACAGTAGGAGAGCTCGGTCCCGACAGGCTGGGACATCTGAACCCTGAACAGGAAGTGATGTCAAGCCTGACAGTCGCAAGTGAACCGAGACTTGCGGGAGTTTCTTACGATGGATACGTCGTTCACATGGAAGTCTTTGACTGCGGTGGCCCTGGTCCTTCGGCTCACTCAGGAGAACAAGGTATCGAAGGCAGCAGTGAACGCGGCCCCAGTGGTGAAACCAGCAATGAGACCGCTGGAACCGATGGAGAGGAAGGCAGCGCCGCTGATATCTTAGCGCCGGATGAGACCTTTGATGCAATTCGTGGCGGCGCCCGGCTTATACTGAACTACGATGCTTCCAGCAACTCCTTCAGGGGCACTGTGGAGAACACGACCGACGGCGTTCTGGAACGGGTCAGGGTCGAAGTTCATCTGTCGAACGGAACGGAGCTCGGCCCGACGACTCCGACGAATATGGCTCCTGGCGAGGTAGCATTGATCGACCTGCCTGCTACACCTGAATCGTTCATCGGATGGACAACACATGCCGAGGTTGGTTCCGGAGAGGAAGGTAGCGAGTCAGGCGGGGAGCATCAGGCCGGTGGTGAGCATGGCGGCAGCGCGGGCGAGCAGCGTGGGGAACATGGCAGTGGCAGGGAGTCCGGCGGCGAACACGGTGGCGAGCGTCGGGGTGGAGGCTAGACCTGAGCGGATTCGACTTGAGGTAAGGATGATGTCGAGCGGCACAGTATTGATAGTAGAAGACGATAAGAGAATCGCGAACTGGGTCAAGGTGTATTTTGAGCGCGCCGGATTCTCTGCCGAGGTTACTTACGATGGTGAATCCGGTCTGGCCCTGGCCCGCAATTTGAATCCGAACCTGATAATCCTCGATCTGATGCTTCCTCGTCTCGATGGCGTAGAGCTCTGCAGGATCCTGCGGCGAGAGTCGGACGTTCCAATAATCATGCTGACGGCCAGAGAAGCCCACGCCGAGCGCATCATTGGACTGGATAGCGGGGCCGACGATTACATCGTCAAGCCCTTCGACCCGGAGGAAGTCATTGCGCGCGCCGAAGCAGTGCTCCGTCGCGTCAAGGGCAGAGTTCAGCAGGTTCTGACACGTGGCAACATCACACTGAATGAGAGCACACGGACCGTGACCGCCAATGAAGAGCCCGTGATTCTGAGCGAGGCGCAGATTGCTCTGCTATCGACGTTTATGCGTCACCCTAACCAGGTACTCACCCGTGAACAGTTAATCTCGCTGTCCTTCAGCCACGAGTTCTGTGGGTTCGACCGCGCCATCGACAGCCAGGTCGCTCGCCTGCGAAAGCAGATCGGCCGAGGAGGCAGTCAGCCTATTCAGACCGTTTACGGCGCCGGCTACAAGTTCGTGGTGGAGGACCAATGATGTCGCTGCGCTGGCGAATCATGGCTTCGACCGTCTTGGTCATCGTTCTCACCGTCCTGGTCAGCATTGGTGTGGGCTATTTCACGACGCAGTACCGTCTGGGTGTGTTCGTAGACGGGATAGGTGATGATGAGGCGCGCCGGCTGGCGCGGAGCCTGAGCCGGGAGTATACCGCTGCCGGTGGCTGGGAGACGGTGGACAAACCGCTGTCTGAGGCCGGATACCTCTACGATGGAGCTCTGGAGCGCGAGCGAACTGAGGATCATGAGGGGGAATCCTTCGAGATCTTCCACAGAGACCCTGTACGAGTCGTCATAGTTGGCGTCGATGGCCGTGTGGTGAGGGGCAACTTATCGGAGCTGTCACCTGGAACCTCCGCGACCGATCTGGGCGGGCATCGAGAGACGGTGTTCGATTTAACCGCGAACCGGCCCGTAGGTTATGTCTATGTGGATGTAAGCCGTGAGTTCCTATCGACTGAGTCCCATGGATTTCTCAACACGCTTCTGTTTACAACCGTTATTGGCGGTATTCTGACAGTAGGCGTTGCCATACTGCTGGCCGCCTGGTTATCCAGACGTGTTACAGCACCTGTGACGGCCTTGACCGAAGCAACCCAGGCAATTGCTCAGGGGGATACGACCCAGCTGCCAGTCAAGTCCTCGGATGAGTTGGGACAGATGAGCGCGGCGTTCAACCGGATGACCTCTGCCCTGGAAACTCAGCGCGACCTTCGCAGACGGCTGATAAACGATGTCTCTCATGAGCTCAATACGCCGCTGAGCGTCATACAGCTGGAGGCAAAAGGGTTACGCGATGGACTTCAGACACCTGAGAGCGCCGCCGATCACATCATCCAGGAAGTGGATAGGCTGCGCGGTCTCGTAACTGATCTGAACTGGCTTGCGGAGACCGACCAGGGTGAGTTGAGGCTCACGCTCGAAGAGAGCTCGATTTATGATCTGCTCACCGCAGAGGTAGATCGCTGGCAGCCACAGGCTCAGGCTCGACAGGTTGAACTGTCGCTGCAGGCATCCGCCGACCTTCCGGACATGGACATCGACCGAGTGCGCCTGAGCCAGGCACTGGGAAACGTACTGAGCAACGCCATTCATTGCACCGACGCCGGCGGGAACATCGTGCTTCGGGCCGGATTGGAAGGTGACGAGGCGTTGGCTATGTCGATCATGGATGACGGGATCGGCATCCATACTTCAGAGCTTCCCCACGTCTTTAACCGCTTCTACCGTACTGAGCAGTCTCGCAGCAGTGGGATAGTCGGCACCGGTCTGGGACTGGCAATCACTCGGGCCACTGTCGAAGCGCACGGGGGTACAGTTGCCGCAACAAGTGAAGGGCTTGGGAAGGGTGTCACCGTGACTATTCGCCTTCCCATCACTAAGTCAGGGTGAGCCGCAGACGATCACGCTTTCAGAGGCGAAACCGTTGTGGCGGAAAGTGTGGGCGATTGTGTCGCCTACGGGCGCCGAATTGACGGCACGCGGTTCCACTAAAGAGTTCGATAGTCAGCTAAGCAGACCGAAACATCAACGCTCCGCCATCGCCGCATTGGATGGCTAGTCAGGTAAAATGAAAGTGTCTTCATGCAACAGTTTATAGTATTTTCTTGCATTGACTTTCGCCGCGATTTCATTGGTTCGTGGAGTTGGCCGGGCCGCGTCGCGCACACCGGCTCGTTCCGGCCGACAATGATTTACTTCCAGCAGACAGGCAGTAGGATGGCAGCTACCGTTCCTTCACCCAAGAGAGAACCCGAGTCTATGGCTCCTGTTGCTTAGCCTTCTCTATTCTTAGTTCTGATGCCGGGTCTATCAATGATTTTCCGACACAGGAACGTAACTTCTGAAAGTGGTAGGGAATACTCGCATACCTTTTACGTCGGAACTGACATGCCAGGTCTGCGGCGAAGGCTCGGGAACTGCCACAAGCTTGAAATGTGACTTTTAGAATTACTGGGTATTCACCACACCACACACTGGCAGACCAACCCAGTCATACCCGTACTCGGTCATCAACCTTATCACCCGAGGTGGAACGCAAACCTGGGTGGGAGTTAGCTGGTTGTCGGAAGTCCAGATAGATACACAACCCCGTCAGATTCCGATGTTCAGGCGTATCTGCCCGCTCAATTGATTTCATTGAGCACAGTTGCTTCAGGTTAGTCAGATTCCCCAGTTCCGGTGGTATCTTACCGCTCAACTGGTTCAGATAGGTCCAGGTATTCGAGTTTGGCTAGCTGTCCAATTGAGGTGAATCTCGCCACTAATTCATTGTAACCGAGCCACAGTTCGGTGAGATCTGACAGTTGTCCCAGTTCGGGCGGTATCTCACCATCAACGAGTTGTTGTCCAGGCTGAGGTCTGCAATGCATGAGATGCCTCAGTTCCGGCGTATCTTGCCTTGCATATCATTGATCCTAACCCTAACCTGATTACAGCGGCCAAAGTCATCCACCGTTACTCTATCTCCGCGCCAGTGTTTGAGGGATTGCTGCTGAGCCCTCCTCGTTTCCTCGTCCACTGGTCACCGTTAGTGGCATTGTAGAGGCGATAGCGCCAGCCTTTGCGGGTCCGTTTTCCTCTTCGTCTTCTACTTCATCAGGGAGGCAAGCCGAGCTTGGACAGTTCCCTATCTCGCAACTCACCAAATTCCCCCGATATGCAACCTTCCAGGTCCAGGTCGGATAGTTCCCAGGCTGCTCAACCTAGTCAGAGCGTTGAGTTCGATTGGAAGTGCCCCACCAGTCTGTTCGGCCCAAGTGCAGGGCTCTAAGGGCTTTAGGTCCGCCAAGCTCAGGCGGAATGGCGCCGCTCAGCCGTTGTCGCTAAGCTTCAGGTTGTCAGGTTGTCCCCGCTTCCCCAGTTCAGGAGGGATGCCGCCTGATAGCTCGTCCTCTCATCAAGGTAAAGATTTGCCAGACCGGACAGTTCGCCGAGTTCTGTCGGTATTGCACCACTCAAGGCGATTATTACTCAGGTTCAAGTCTGTGAGCCCAGTGAGCCTACCGATTCCAGGTGGTATGTCGCCTGTCAGCTCATTATCGTGGAGGTAAAGGCCCACCAGGTTATCTAGGCCCGCAATTTCCAGCGGAAGTCCTCGATCAGCTGTTTTGCCCAAGATACGGTGCGCCAGGTTAATCAGACTTCCAAGTTCCGGTGGAATGTCGCCACTCAACTGGTTGTCGCTGAGACGCATTTCCTCCAGGCTTGTAAGATCCCCAAGCTCTGGTGGCAGCTGTCCATTCAGCCGGTTGCCGTCAAGGGTCAGGGTCTTGAGGTTCTTCAGGTTTCCGAGTTCAGGTGGTATCTCCCCGCTAAGATTGTTGCCGAACAGATGTAGCTCTTGCAGGTGTGCAGATTACCCAGCTCCGACGGAATCTCCCCCGCTTAACTGGTTATCAAAGAGTTGAAGTTCCACCGGTTAGTCAGCTTTCCCAGTTCGGGAGGGATTTCGCCGGTCAAGCCAGTTATAGCCTAAGCGCAGAAACTTCAGTTCGGTCAGTCTTCCGAGCTGTGGTGGTATGTCGCCAATCATTCTTCGTGCAGTGAGGTCTAGGCCGATAACTCGTCCGTCGGAATCACGTTCGATTAGAAACCGGCTCCTATCAGCCTGACTGGTTTCCAGAAATGAAATTACAATGTCCATGTCCACTTCCGCAGGCGTCTTGGTCGGAACCGGCGTGGGTGTGGGAACAGTCCAAATGGCATCGTCACAAGCGACACGGATATCAGTACGGCCGTAACGATTAGAGTGATTGCGGAAGTCTTCATTTGCAATCTCCCGAGTCCTGGTTATTCATGCATCGAGCAGGCTGATTCCACTGAGGATGATTGTGATCGCTCAGAAAGCTGAGGCGTGATTGACTCAATCCAAATGCAATAATTGTGGGTAAAGTTATGCATTCTGAATTCTGTCAATCCATCGTCCCGCTGACCCAGGATGTTCAGCGCCGGAGACCTCTTGGCGAGCACATACTTCAAGTCGCAGTAGCACTTTTGGGGAGGCGCCTGACTGAGGCCGTTCAGGTTCAGGCTTCACTCTCCGTCAATACTGAGATCAACCACCCGAAGAGTGGATCCTTCCTTCTAGGGGCGTGCTTACTGCCGGTGTCATCGCTGTCATTTCGGCTCTCAGTTCTGCCTGTGGAATCAGCGCCTCATCGGCCGAGAACCTAGTGGGCAGGATCCAAATTATGAAGTTGCCCTGTTCTTACGTGGAATTATCAAGACTATCACTAGACCAATGGGTCCGAGTACCGCTCCCAGTATAAAACCGAGACAGCCATTCAGTCCTTTTCGCGATGCAATGATTGCGCTCCCTCCACCGAAGAGCGCGAAATAAATCGCGAAAGATAACAATACGACTGACGCGGGCAAGTTAATTCCAAGTGCATCCATAATGCTAATCTACCCACCTCAGATGGAAACTCTACAAACACAAGAGGGTTTGCCAGGTAGGCCGGCGGCGTGATGCAAGCGTTTGCTGTAGTAGCTTCTTTCTTGCACGACATGTCTGTGCAAGTGCCCCATTCTACCTTAGGCAATTCCTTGAGCCTGAAAAGGAAACCCTAAGACAGATCGGATTCCTTGCTGAAATTTGAGACGAATATGGGACCGATTCAGGACTAGCGAACCCCTGCACCCCATGCAAGTCGAGGAAGCGGCGAAAAGCACCAGATCTACCTGTATGCATGAGTATCTTCGTCCTAAAGTCTGCAAATCGCAGGTGATGTCGTATCAGTGTCCTAAGGAGGGAAGATGCTCACGGATCACCCTGTTCGCAAGTTCCAGAAAACTCGCCAGTTGCGCGATGTGTCGGCCAGGACCATCGAGGCGTACGGGTGGGCGCTATATAAGCTAGGGAAGGTCTTTCCTGACGAATTGCCCACTTCACCCGAAGAAATGCAGCAGGTATTCGCGGCGTTCCACGACCTCACGCCCGAATCAAGGTAGTCTCTGTCTGTGTGGGGTGGACCCCACAGTTAGGACAACGAAGAGGCCAAGTTAAGAGAGACTCCCGCTGGAAAGTCTGACACTACCTCACGAGATGATAACGTCGATGCCTGCTCTGGTAAACACCTGAGTGGCCTTCCTTCTGCAAACACCTGAGCCGGAGTCCGATAGCCCAGAGACTGGTGCGGCCGCTCTCGGTTGTACAAGTCCAGGTAAGCGTCAATTCCTCTCCTGGCTTCACTACCATTGCGATAAGCTTTCAGATATACCTCCTCGTATTTGACGCTCCGCCACAAACGCTCTACAAAGATGTTGTCCAGGTATCTGCCCTTGCCATCCATGCTGACCTTGATCCCCCGCTCCAGCAGCAGGCCACAGAAGGCTTCACTGGTGAACTGGCTTCCCTGGTCGGTGTTGAAGATCTCCGGCTGTCCTTTGCTCAAGGCTTCTTTCAGGGCCGCGATACAGAAGCCCACCTCCAGAGTATTGGAGAGCCTCCAAGCCAGCACGTACCGGCTGTGCCAGTCCATAATGGCCACGAGATAAAGGAATCCCCGGGACATGGGCAGGTAGGTGATGTCGGCTGCCCAAACCTGATTGACCCTGTCGACTGCCACTCCTTTGAGCAGGTAAGGGTATATCCTGTGTTCCGGCGCAGGCTTGCTGGTATTGGGCTTGCGGTAGATGGCTTCCAGCCCCATTGCCCGCATCAGTCGCCGTACCCGCTTGCGGTTGACCTGATGCCCCTGAGTCCGGAGCCAGGCCGTCATCCTGCGAGAACCATAATAGGGCGTCTTCAGATACTGCCGGTCCATCCCGGCCATCAGGTCCAGATCCGCCGGGTTAGTCGGTGTCGGCCGGTAGTACACCGCGGAACGGCTGAGCTGCAACAGACGACACTGCTTTACTACCGAAAGAGCTAATATCAGAAGTTGTGGAAATTGAAAAGGCGCAGGTAAGAGAAAGGGCGTATCCTCCAGGTATCACAAACCGTCGATGAGACGAAAAACTGGAGGAGTACGCCGTGAGGGAAGTATATCAGAACGAAGAAGAGGCGAACGTAGTTGACGACACGCTGGAAGCGATGGTCAGGGAAGGGGGCGAGAAGGATGCTCGCAGCGGCACTCGAAGAGGAGGTGAGCGGGTTCCTGGGCAGGGACCGCTATGAGCGGGGCGAGGAGTTCCGCGGATACAGGAACGGTTATCACCGCAGCAGGGAACTGACGGTGGGAGTCTCAGCTGTGGAGGTGAAGGCGCCGAGGGTGTCGGACGTGCCTGCTGAGGTGGCTGGTGGTGGGCTTCGAGTCGAAGATAGTCCGCCGATATGAGCGCACGAGTCGTCAGACGCAGGATCTGTTTCGGAAGTTGTACTTGGAGGGATTGTCCACCGGAGACTTTGAGCCTGTGTTTCGTGAGTTGGTGGGAGAGACTGCGGCATTGAGTCCGAACGCGATCGTGAGGTTGAAGAGCAAGTGGGAGTCGGAGTATCGGGCGTGGTGTAGCAGGAAGTTGGAAGAGTGCAGGTACGCCTACATCTGGGCGGACGGAGTGTACCTGGGAGCCGGAGTGGACAGGGAGAAGACTGCGCTGCTATGCGTGGTGGGGGCAAGGGAGGACGGAGTGAAGGAACTGCTGGGTATGGAGCTTGGCTATCGTGAGAGCACGGAGAGTTGGTCTGGTGTGCTGAGGAGCTTGAGGGATCGGGGTCTGAGTGCGCCGCTATTGGCGGTGGGAGACGGTGCGCTGGGTCTGTGGGCTGCGCTCGATGCGGTGTTCCCGACTGCGGGTCATCAGAGGTGCTGGAACCACCGTGCGCTGAACGTGCAGAGCAAGTTGCCGAAGGCGCTGAACTCTGAGGCGCGCAGGCAGTTGAGGGAGATGTCGTATGCGCCGACGCGAGTGGAGTGCGAGCGCTTGAGGGACGAGTACGTCTCCGATCTGAGAGCGGATGGTCGCTCAGATGCCGCCGATACGGTGCTTCGGGACTGGGAGTCGTTCGTGAGCTTCTACGACTTTCCGGTCGAGCACTGGGTGCATCTGCGGACGACTAACCCGTTGGAGTCGGTGTTCAGCGCTGTGAGGTTGAGGACGGACGCCACTCGACGAATGAAGAGGCGAGACAGCGCATTGTACCTTGTGTTCAAGGTGTCGCTGAGGCTGAGTGAGCGCTGGCGTCCGCTGAACGGAGGCAGAAACCTGATGGGCTTGCTGGTGGACGGAGCGAAGTTCGAGGACGGTATCTTGGCCGAGTTGCCGGTGAGCGCCGAGGGAGGCAGTCGCCGCTTGATGAGCTAAACCACCTGGAGGCAATTTCCACAACATTTGACACAAGCTCCTGAAATAAACGTATGGCAGGGCCTCTCGCTATGGATCGCAGGCTCTCCAGACTGCCTCGTTGGCATCAACCCACGCCTGCGCGGCCTGGCGTACGGTTAGGTCGTTCTCTGTGAGGTTGAGGACAATCTCGTTCTGCTGCTGGTTGGTCATCTTGAATCTGGAGAGGAACTGGTATGCCTCCGGAAACTCGTCCTTGAGGCCTGGCCAAGCCAGCTTGGCCACGGCGTCGGTTGGAAAGCCGCAGTTGTAGTTGCTGCCGCCAGGATAGCAGTCCGAAGTCCAATCGGGCATCTCGATCTGCACCAGGTTGTACTTGGCGTGGGCCCAGTGAGGTTCCCAGAGGTATGTGAGGACTGGCTCGCCCCTTTGGAAGGCAGCGTCGACTTGAGCCAGGGCTGCGCCCTCGGACCCGGCGAACACCTCCTGGAAGTCGGCGCCGAAGGCTTCAAGTCGTTCGGCGGGCTTCGTGTCCCACGCTGCAGTGAACTCCAGGAGTCTGCCCTTGGTGCCGGTATCGCTCGTGGCGAAGACGGACTTGTACTCGTTCAGGTCGCTGACGCTGCGTAGGTTTGGAGCGACGGCATCGATGCCGCGGTCGGCGTCGCCATTTATGACGTAGGAAGGCACGTACCATCCTGTCTCTCCCGTGATGCCTACTGGGCCGACTCGCTCCACCTTGGCGCCGTCGTCGGCATCCACGTACTCCTCGAGGAGTGCGGCACTGTAGGAAGGCCAGTTGCAGCACACGAAATGGAAGTCGCCCTTTTCGAGACCGATGAAGAGGGGCGCCGAGTCGGCGGGCGCGAACTTGGTCGCGACAGTGTGGTCCATCTCCTGCTCCAACAGGATCTGCATTACAGCCGTCGTGACCAGCTGGCCGTTCCAGTCCTGGTCGACGAGATACAGGGTGCCTCTGGTCTCCGACTCATCCTCATCGGAGGTTTCGCTGCACGCCGCCCCCACTGCGAGGACCATGGCCAGCGCCACTATCATTGAGAGGCCAATCCACCTATTCTTCAATATTTTCATTTTTCCTTTCCTTTCTGGGCTTAGAGTGTATCAGGCAGACCTGACCGATTGCCTCATGCTCTATTGTCCCATCGGCATCCTCCCTTTAACGGCCCCGCGGGCCCTATGCCGGATTCTCGCTACCTCATCGCAGCAAATGGTATTGCAGAACCTTGCCTGCCCTGGGTCATGCGGTCGAGCACCATCGCCATGAAGACGATTGTCATCCCGGCAACCAGGCCATGGCCCATCCTGAGCCAGATGGAGTTTATGAAGACTTCCTGTCCGAGGCCGCCTCCGCCCACAAGTCCGGCGATGATCACCATCGCCAACACCATGATGATGGTCTGGTTGACACCCATCATAATCGTTGGGAAGGCCAGGGGTATCTTGACTTGGAGCATGGTCTGAAGGCGGTCGAGCCGTGCGACAGGGCCGTCTCGATAACCTGTGCCGGTACCTCCTTGATTCCGAGGCTGGTCATGCGAATCACCGGAGGCAGCGCGTACACCGAGGTGGCAATGATGCCGACCAGGGGCCCGACACCCCAGAGCATTATGACCGGGATCAGGTAGACGAAGATCGGCATGGTCTGCATGGTGTCCAGAATGGGCCGTAGGACTGACTCGAAGGCCCTGCTCTGTGCGGCGAGAATGCCCAGAGCGACACCCACCACCACCGTGAACACTCCCGCGGTCAGCACCTGGCTCAAGGTGTCCATGGTCGCGTCCCAAACCCCGCCGATGCCTGCGAAGGCCAGCCCCACCAGCGCGAGAAGCGCCGCGCGCCTGCCCGCAATGAAACAGGCCAGCCCGGCCGCGACGATCATCAACGCCGGCCAGGGGAGCCAGAGGAGCAGCGTGTGAATAGGTGAGTAACCGAGCTCCCGGAACAGGGTGTCCCGTACCCAGCTTGTGATGAAGTAAAGGTTGACTGCCATCCAGTCGAAGACCCGGTTGACGGGGTCCGCCATCGAGAACGTAAGCTCGTCAGGGAAGTCTCTCAGTGACCCGAACAGGGAGCCAAGAACCAGCAGGATAGCTATCAGGCCCACGCCGGCAATGGGAAGAGTGTAGCGTGCAGCCATGTTCTGAATTTTTTGGGCGGCCGTCTCATCGGCACGCTGACTGACGGCCAGAACAGATTCAGAGGAGTTGGGACCGGACTTTACGAGGGCGTAGCTAAACCTGTCCAGGATGATGGCCAGGAGCACAATGGCGATGCCGCTCTCCAGCCCTTCTCCCGCATCCACCTCCCTCAATGAGAGCCATACGTCCCTGCCGAGTCCCTCCACTCCCACGAGCGCGGTTATGATCACCATGGAAACCGCCATCATTATTGTCTGGTTTATGCCCACCATGATCGAGCTCTTTGCCAGTGGCAGCTGCACCTGAAACAGCGTTTGGGATGTAGTCGAACCGTGCGAGTGCGCTGTCTCGACGGCGGCCTGGGGGACCTGGCGAATCCCCAGGTTGGTGAGCCTGATGACAGGAGGGATCGAGTAGACCACCGTAAGGAAGATACCCTGAGTGCCGCTCACTCCGAATAAGACCAGCGCGGGAATGAGGTAAACGAAGGCAGGCAGGACCTGCATGGTGTCTAGAATCGGACGAACGACTGACTCGAAGCGACTGCTGAAGGCAGCGAATACGCCGACTGGTACCCCCAGTCCCACAGCGATGATTACTGAAACCCCTACTACGCTCAGAGTGAGCATCGCGGAGTCCCAGAACCCGTTGAGGCCGATGAACAGGGCGGCCGCGCCGCAGAACAGCCCCAGCCACCTGCCGCCGAGCCTGAGGCCCAACATCGATGCCGCCGCCACGACAACTGGCCAGGGGAGCCAGAGCAGGAACGTGTCTATCCCAGCGAGGCCCGCATCTATGAAGTCGGAGATTGGATTGAAGAACCAGGCGAAGGCATCGCCGGTCCACTCAAAGAACTCGTCAATCGGCTCCTGAATGGGTAGTTCCCAGCTCCGCGGCCAGTCTCCGAAGTCAGTGCCCGCGTTGGTGGTCGCCAGTGAATACGCGAGGATGTACGCGGCGACGGCAATTGACGTCCACAGAAGGCCCTGGAGCCGGCGTTCCCGGAGAAAGCGAATCTGGAAAGCTTCCGCGCGGGTCACATCGCTACACCGTCGTCGCTTATGAGGGCGGCCAGTGCCGCCTCGCGGTTGATTGTGCCAATGCATCGGCCACCGTCTAGGACAGCAATGGGGGCGTCGCCGGTGATGGCCAGGGAAATGAGCCGTTCGAGCCGGGTACCCGGCTCCACGACGGGGCAGGAGTCCCGGATGACGGAGGCGACGCTGGAGTGCGCCACCCCGCTTCCGGGTACGTCCGCCAAATGCACCGTTCCGATGAAGCGGTCCTGCCCATCGACCACCACCGCGCTTTCGCATTCCTGAGCAATCAACCTGCTCGTCAGGTCGGATAGTCCCTCATCTGCTGTGGCGTAGACTCGGGGCGGGGTCATAACAGAACGTGCTGTGAGCACCTTGGACCGGGGCACGTCCCGCGTGAAGTCTCGCACATAGTCGTTGATCGGATTGGAGACCAAGTCCTCCGGCGTGCCTATCTGAACGAACTCCCCGTCTTTCATTATGGCCACGCGATCTCCGACCTTGAGAGCCTCGAGGAAGTCGTGCGTTATAAATACCATCGTCTTCTGAACCATTTGCTGGAGTCCAATCAACTGGTCCTGCATATCTCGCCGGATGAGGGGATCGAGAGCGCTGAACGGCTCGTCGAAGAGGAGGATCTGCGGGTCGACGGCTAGCGCGCGGGCCAGCCCAACACGCTGCTGCATTCCGCCGCTCAGCTCGTGCGGGTACCGTTCCTCCCATCCCGACAGTCCCACCAGCTCAATGACTTCGGCCGCGCGCCTGCGTTGGGTGGTCTTGTCAATGCCCTGGATCTGCAGACCGTAGACCACGTTTTCCAGGACCCGCTTGTGGGGGAAGTTACCGAAGTGCTGGAAGACCATGGCCATCTTGTGGCGGCGAATTTCCCGCAACTGCTGCTTGTTCATCGTGAGCACGTCCTCGCCGTCAATGTGGACCTGTCCGCGGGTCGGTTCGATCAGACGGCCGAGACAGCGGACGAGCGTTGACTTGCCGCTGCCGGAGAGTCCCATGATGACGAAGGTCTCACCTTCGCGTACATGGAAAGAGACATTCCTGACGGCAAGCACGCAGCCAGTCTGGGCCAACACTTCTTCCCTGGACAGGGCAGGATCGACGGAGTCCGCGAGATCCCGGGCCCCATCCCCGAACACCTTCCACAGGTTTCTGCACACGAGTCTTGAGTCGGCGGCTACGTCGGATTGACCGGCCGGTCCGGTATGATTGGCGGAGCTGTATTCCATTGATCTGCCCCTGACGTTTGTAACACCCGCTATGCCAGTCCGACCGTGATGTGAGCAGGGCTGGGAGGAAGGCCTCTGCCACTGGGGGACGGTTACCCAGAAGGAGCTGTGAGGCCTGATGCGTGTGTAGGTCTATCCTGAGATCGGCAGCCGCTCTCTCGAGACGACTGTTCTCAGATTCAAGCTACTTCAGGAGTGTGGCTTGGTTAGCCCTGAGTCACCTGGATTCGGAGCTGCACCGAAGGAGGTCTACCAGGTCACTCCAATACGGAGCGGGCCTCAGCCACCGTGCTTCCCCGGATATCGCGAACTCAGCCTCTCTGAGCATGTTGATCACTTGCCCCGGTGGTTGTCTCCTGCTGGCCATTTCGGCCTCAACACCGTTCATCGGAGCAACGCGCGCTTTGTATAAGCATCCAGCCCACAGCTTTGTTTTCGGACTGGACATCGATGATTGTATCACTATCAGTGACGTCCGACCTGAGGATGCGGTCGTTCAACAATACAACCCTTTTCTTCAATTCCGGAATCCGGGCATAGTAAGGGCATTCCGGTATTCACAGAAATGTTCGTTCCAGCATTCATCCCCTTCTGCCGCCCCTATTTGCTGAGGTCTATCCCTTAATACAATGTTTGCAATGGCGCTTTCAGGATCCAGCATGCTCTCCACGGTCCGTCCGATTCGACGCTTGCGTCCCAGCGCCGAGACGTTAATCTGGCCTATCACCGCGGCGTTGCTGGTCGTTGGCTCTTTGCTGCCTGAGCCTAACGCCGATATGCTGAACGCAGTCGGCCGCGGCCTGCTCTCGTTGTTGCCCGTCGTCGCCATCGCCGCACTCCTTGCGGGCGCCCTGACAGTGGGCCGCTGGTCTGATCGAGCCCTTGCCTGGCTGAAAGGGGGTCAAGTACGGGCCGTTGTAGCAGCCAGCATCATCGGTGCCGTTACGCCAGTGTGCGGTCTGGGTATGTTGCCGCTGATAGCAACACTTCTGCGTCGGGGACTTCCTCTAGCCCCCGTTATGGCGTTCTGGATCTCATCACCCATTACCGACCCCAGCATGCTGCTTATAACGGCTAGCATAATCGGTGTCCCATTCGCGGTTGCCAAGACTGTGTCGGCCTTCGGTATTGGTCTGCTGGCGGGTGCCGTGACCAGCTTCCTGCCGAGCTATCGCAACGCCTCTCACGAGCTGATGCGACCAGAGACGCTAGAGCAGTGCGAGTGCGAGGAAGAGCAGCCTCGTTTCTGGCCGGCGGTCTGGAGCAGTGCCCGGCCGATCATACGATGGCTGGCCCTCGCCCTGGTCCTGGAGGTGTTTCTGCACCGGCTGGTGTCCGACGAGTGGGTGGTATCCCTTTTCGGTACGGACGCAGGCGCATCGGTCCCCCTGGCCGTTGTCGTGGGCGCCCCCATGTACTTGGACGGCTACGCGGCGCTACCCCTCGTCAGCGGGTTGATGGACAAAGGCATGAGCTTTGGGGCCGCTCTCGCGCTCATGATCTCCGGTGCGGCGGTCAGCTTCTATTCCGCGGTGGCGGTCGCCGCCCTTGTGCGCGTCCGCGTCTTCGTCTTATACGTTCTGTTGGCGATGTCCGGCGCCTGCCTGGCAGGGTACATAGCCTTCTGGCTTCTCTAACCGATTTTGCTTTGGCCGCTTCAGATCTGACGCGGGGATCCTGGAATCGGAGTGACTGGGCCTTCGGTCAGTCGTCGGAGACCTGGGACAACGGTCTTAGAGTACCTGGATCTACCTGCCCATCAGCCCTCAGAGTCGACACCTCCTATTCAGGCTTTTCAATGTGTGCGAGCTGACATAAAATTTATAGGGCGAACCAGGTTCGAGATGGCGAAATCGGCCGTGGGTGTTTCGGTGACAGCGCGAGTTGTGTCAGCCATCACTTCCCTGCCCTGTACGGGCAATCGCACGTCCTTCCCAACTGGCGGCTGGGCGGGCCGCAGCCTGACGGAATCCGCCGCCATTTTCGGCCCTCGAGTTGCTCCCTGGGATGGGGGCGGACGCACATCGATGCAGCTCTCGATCACGGACCATGGCCTTCGAAGGGATCTCCTGCGGCTGTTTCCCACGCGACCGCGTCTGTAGTCGGTTTCCGGGCCTGAGAACGCCCCAGAGGTCCAGCTCGGAGGACCCTCAGGGTAGGTCGCGTCCCGGAATCCCACTCGCATGACCGTCGTGTCGATAGCCCCAAGGAATGCGCCGGCCACTGGCGGTTGAGCCGTCCATGTGGTACACGCTAGCTCCGCCGATTACATGCCGATGGCGGATCTCAAACCTTAGAGTTGGTGCTGTCGTTGCAGGTCCAGCGAGGAGGTCGTGGGCGTGCCCTATCGACGGGATTCCCACCGGAAGAACCGCAGCGCAACCACAAACCCACCGGCCAGCCAGGCAGCCATGACCAGCAGGTGAACCCACTCGAATCCTGCGCCCGTTTGCAGTGGGTCGAACGACGTGTGCAGTGCCAGTGCAAAGTGTCTTACTGGGAAAATGTCGGCGAGAATCTTGAGCCAGGCCGGGGCCTCGTCCAGGGGGATGAACACGTCCGATATGAACAGCAGCGGCAGTATCGACGCATTGACGATGGCTGGCGAGGCGTTCGCATTGGGGATAACCGACGTGATCGCCAATCCAAGCGTACAGAAGGTGGCCGCTCCGACTTGCAAGCGTCACTACGAACGCGGGCAGAGTGTTCGTCGGAATGTCCACGCCATAGAACAGCACACCCGCCCCCGTCACGATCACCACCAGCAGGATTGCCAGCAGCACAGAGTGCGCTATCCTTCCAAACAGGTATGCCCAACTGGGCAGCGGGGTGCCCCGGACCCGCTTGAGCAAACCGCCGTCCCTGGAGAACGCGATGCCCATCGCTATGTTGGTGTAGCAGGCGCCCACCACCGCAAAGACGACTATCCCCGGCACAAAGAAGTTCGCCAAATTCAAGGGTTCGCCCTGATCGTCAGTCCCCGAGCCACCGAACATCAGGTTGAAGATCACCAGGAACATCAGGGGAAACACGATCGTGAAGAACGCCGCGACGGGGTTGCGCCAAAAAGCGGTGTTCTCGTAGCGAACCTGCCTCAGAGCGAGCGCGAAGTCGTTCACGATTCCCTGCCGTCCTGCTCCGGGGAGTTGACGACCTCGATGAACAGGTCCTCCAGAGACGGGCGCGAGACCGACAATTCCTCCAGCTCGCTTCCGTGCTCCACGGCCCAGCCCGTAAGGCGGTGCAGGCTATGGGTCGGCGTGTCCGTTGTGATGGCATAGCGACCATCGTCGTCTGTGGGTACCGCGGTCAGATCTTCGGGCAGGCGGGCCGAGCCGGATTCCACCCTGAACCGGATGGTCGTAGACCGATCCTTATACAACAGCTCGCCCACGGTGCCCTCCGCGACGATCTTACCCTCTACGATGATCGCGACGCGGTCAGCCAGGTTCTCTGCCTCCTCCCATGTAGTGGGTCGTGAGCACCACTGTCTTGCCCAGTGACTTGAGACTCCTGACCATCTCCCATGCGCCGCGGCGCGCTGATGGGTCGAACCCCGACGTCGGCTCGTCCAGGAACAGCAACTCCGGGTCTCCGGACAGCCCGATGGCAACGTCCAGCCGCCGCTGCTGGCCTCCGGATAGACGTCTCACACGAGCGTGGCGCTGCTCCCTCAGTCCGACAAGGTCCAGAATATCCTCAAGCGGCAGCGGGTGAGGGTAGTATCCCCGGAAGAGGTCTATCGTCTCCTCGACCGAGAGGTAGGGCTCAACGACCGTCGACTGTAGCACGATGCCGATTCGCCGCCTGAAAGCGCGGTCGTTG